AGCTAAAGAAGCAATGCATAAGGAGGCATTAGAAAGAAAGGGGAAAGGAAAGAAAAGGTAATTAAAAGGAAAAGGGAGACTAAAGAAAGAAAAGGTAGGTAAATAGGAATCACGGAAAGTTAAGGAAGCTTATACCCGATTCACACGTACAAAAATCTTACCAATTGTAACAAAATGTAACCAAAAGTAACATTTTACGGCACGTGTGAAAGTACCTCCGTGTAATATCCTTGTAAAATCTCGGAACGTCTTGCTAATCTTTACCAGCCTCGCTGAGGCTGGTAAAGCTTCCGAGATGTAACATGGATGGATCTGCGCATGCGCAAGGATTTCAACACAACAACAATCTACTGTTTCACAGGGTTCTTTGAATTTTCTTCCTTCTGCATACGATTCTGATCCACTAGAAATAGATAGGCCTACAGTAGTTTTTGTCAATGATGAATGAATTACCCTTTTTATTGATGTTAATTAGTAATGGTAGAAGAAGAAGATGTACATAAAATGAACGTCGGGATGGTGTTAGTACTATTACTAGTATTACAAGAGTCGACAGAAACGTTGGAAGCTATGCCTAGTTTAGTAGTAGTAGTACAGCAGTTGTTAAGGGTATCAATTGCTTCGAATGTTTACTGTGATGGTGGGTTCAACAGTCCATCTGTGACAGGGGCTCTCAACTACTGTAGGCCTAGGCTAGACCTATATCGCAGTAGGGGAAAAAATGGTTCATTGAATAAACACTGAATAAATTTTACACAACCTTGGCATTACCTTACAGACGCGTGTGAATGCTTTTTATCTCGCGATCGCTCGGTTACAATATGTTACTTTTTGTTAAATTTAACTTCACGTGTGAATCGGGTAATAGAATGAAAGTAAAAGAGAAGATAAGTAAGTAATTAGACGGTTAGCTAATACTAAAATAGAAAACAAAAACAAGGAACGTGAAAGTGAAATATAAGGTCAGTTAACATATTTTCCCCCTCTAGGGACCTTCTTTTGTTTTGCACTGTTGAAGCTTGTCAACTACTGTGGTAGTCAATGACAGCCACTTGTTCTGTTGATTCAGAACGGTTAAGAACTTTATTATTATTATTTATTTCAGTGCCCCCTCAAACCTGGCGCCCGGGGCACGTGCCCTCCTTGACCCCCCCTTAGCTATGCCACTGCTGCTAAGGTCCTACTAAACGGCAGGGTTTAAACATAAGCACACACGTGTGTTTGTGGGACACATTTGTGCTTGTTAGACACGCACGTCACATATTCCTGGTCTTGTTTTTATTGGTCAGTTGTTAAGTTTGATTCGCATACCGGAATGGAATGGTCCATTACTTTATAAACATAGTTTATTAAAAGAAATTAAATATAAATGAATTTCGATTTTTTTTTTCATTTATAGTTTATGAGCTATGGTTCAAGCAGATTATATATGAATTGGATTCCATTTGCGATATTTTAAGTAGCATTCCCGTAGCTGAGAACAAACAACTTGTAATGAATTCGAGACTGGGAAGAGTCGTCGAAATCATGAAGGTAGTTGCGTTTGCATTTTCCATTTAATGCTTAAAAAATTTAATTTTATTTCATTACATTAAATATTTTTCTCACTGTATGGTTGTTATTTATGTTCTTTAAATTATTTATATTGCGTTCATCGAGCCGATACTATTTCATTGTATGTTTACATGTACATTTGACAATAAATTTAATGTATCTGTATCTGTTAATAATGAAATAAAATAAACCAGTCAAAAGACTGTATTGCAAGGTAAGTTGTCATACACACACTTACCAAGTCTTTCACTATGTTCTATTATGTGAATTTTGAGTGTTGTTTCTTTTAGCTTCTTGTTTCTCAGTTCAGCGTGATCGAGACGATGACACCACATGACTTTGCGGATTTTCGACCGTACTTATCATCAGCTTCTGGCTTTCAGAGTTATCAATTTCGCATTCTCGAGAACAGAATTGGGATTAGGCCTGTAAGTAAAGTGGTGCCAGTTGGACCTAAAAAGGAGGGGGTGGAGGGGGCAGTCAATTATTTATAACAATATAATTATATAATTTAATACGATCCTTCTTCTTTCATCTCATGATAACGACTGACCACTTAGGCATTTTTAATCAGAATAGAAACTATATCCATCGAGAAAATTTTCAATAAAAATATAGTAGAATGAAGTTAGCTAGGCTGAAATATAAGATTGCCATATCAAAATTTTGAATACTAGGGTTGTTGTTGTAAATATGTTTGTGATTTTTTTTTCCCCCAATCAGGAATGGAGAATTAAGTACAACCAACAAGAATACAAACAAGTCCATTGTGCAGCAATTGCTAAAGATTTGCAGGAATCTGAAGATAAGATGTCTTTACTTCAGCATGTTGAGGTACACATACCATACAGTGGTGGTACCAGTAGGGGGAAGGAAGGGGGGGCAGGGGAAATCTCTCCTGCAGGACAGGCATGTAACTTCGCCCACCCTCCTTCTGACCCACGACAAGGTCTTCGGACCAAAATAAATAATTTGCCTATCCAAATAACACTTATTTTAATTGCCAATCCCTAATATTGTAGTCTAAAAGCACAATTTAGTACATACTAAGCCATAAAAATTATTTTTATTCGGGGACCCTGACCGAGGCTCTAGTTGGCTCCTTGGTTCAGACCACCTGACAGACACAAAATAGGAAGGTTGAGGGCGCTGCACTGTTGCCAACAGAAGCTTTGTGAATTTCTATGCAAATTTCATGTTGTTAAATACGTACTGCAAGTATTATTCTGTCTTCAATGTGCTTTAAAGCAACACGCACTGGCAACACCGCCGTGCTCTCCAAAGACTCTAAAAAAGCAAAGGGCGTGAAAGATGAAGAGGAGGGCAATCAAAGAAAATTCAGGAAGATGTGCAATTTTGGGAAATTGATGATTTTAATTTTCCTAATTATTATTTCTTCCTAAAGGAATGGCTGGAAAGAACCCCAGGTTTGGAGGCAGATGGTTTTGATTTCTCCAACAAAATGAGAAAGAACATAGACAGAATGCTAACAGAAATGAAAGCGAAAGCAGAGGTAAAAAAAATAGTACAGATATATTATAATAATGTTACTACACTAAAGGCCTGTTTATACTTCAACGATAACGATAAAAAAGCTAAAAAGCGATTGTTCATCAAATACAAAAGAATTAAGAGAAGTTTTAACACTAGGACGATTCGATAACGATTTATCATGTATACGATAACAAAATATTTTTAAAAATCAAATCAGGTGAGGTCATCATCATGGAAAAACGATAAAATCGTTGCTACTACTACAATTTTAATGTTTTTCCATGATTATGACGTCATCTGATTTGATTTGTCAAAATATGTTGCTATCGCATAACTGATAAATCGTTATTGAATTGTTCTAGTGTAAAAACTTTTTTGATCGTTATTGTTGAAGTATAAACAGGCCTTAACAAGTAGTTGTGATTTGCCCATATACGGGCATGATGATGTCATGTTACACCCTTATATGGGCAAACCCACAGGTACTTGTCACAGTGCCGTAGGAAAAACATAGACAATCCATGGCTACCATCAGTTAAGCTGGTTGAACTACAGTATGCAGCTGTATTTTGTGTGGAGTGGAGTTTAAGTCCTGGGTTCAATTCCTGTCATAGCAAGACTTGTTCTCACTACTAAAAACAAGTCCACTCCCTCAAAAAGAGACATGGTTTATAAAATATCGTCCATCCTATGATTGCTAATTACTTGGGGACTCAAACTAGGTCCCCAAAAATGGCGGCTACAAATGGCGGCTCTAATTGGTTTTTTTTTTAGGCATGCTCTGGAAAGGAAGCCAAGGAAAACATGGAGCAGTACCTGAAAGATAAGGAGACTTTTGATAGTATTTTTGATGAAAAAACACATGCTGCTCTGGTTAAGAGAGGTAAATTGTAGTTATGTATATATATATATA